TCAAACTCCTGACCTCGTGATCCACCTGCCTTGGCCTCCCAAAGTGCTGGGATTACAGATGTGAGCCACCGTACCTGGCCTGTGTGACCCAATTCTGATGTCAATTCCCTGATGTTTCAGCAAATGCCACAGGTTAAGGCCATAAGCCCCCACTAGGCTGCTCTCACTTTAGACACAAGCTGCAAACTTGGGTATCCTCAGACCACAGGTACTTTTCATCAACTGGCTACAACTTTGGAGACTCCCACAGCACCCTCAGGTTTCATAATTCTTTATAACAACTTGCAGAATTTAGAAAAGCATTCTTTCTTTTTCTTTCTTTCCTTTTTTTTCTTTCTTTTTTTTTTTTTTTTTTTTTTGTGATGTAGTCTCTCTCTGTCACCCAGGCTGAAGTGTAGTGGTTTCTTCTCAGTGGACTGTAACCTTTGTCTCCCAGGTGCAGGTGATTCTCCTGCCTCAGACTCCCTAAAACCTGGGTTTACACATGTGGGCCATCACAGGTCGGCTAATTTTTATATTTTTAGTAGAGACAGGGTTTTATCATGTTGGCCAGGCTGATCTTGAACTCCTGACCTCAAATGATCCACCTGCCTCGGTTTTCCAAATGGCTAGGATTACAGTCGTGGGTCACCGTGCCCTGTCTGATACTTTCATTACAGTTTTATATAAGAAAAACACTGACAAAAGTTAAGACCAGCCAAAAGCAGAGACACAAAGCGCACACTCTGAGAGGGTGTCAAAGACACCCTCTCTGTGTCCTCAGGACGCCCCATCCTCTCAGCACACTGATGTGTGTCACCAGCCAGGGAAGCTCCCCTGGGCTTCCACATCCAGGGCTTTTATTACAGTGGCCAGATTGATTCAGTCACTGGCCAGGCACCTGAGTCCAATCTCCAGCCCCCAGTTCCTTTCTGGGAGTCAGGCTGACACCACGTGACTTGAAGTCGCAACCTTCAAATCACATGATTGGTCATCTGGTGTGGGTGACCCCTTGCCAAGCCATCTGGTTGGCATGAACTCAGTTGTAACCCTGGGGGGCCACCGTGAGTAACAGATGTGCCTATCACCCAAGAAATTCTAAGGATGTAGAGTTTGTCTCCAGGAATCAGAGACAAAGACTCAAACAACTGAGAAAAAGCAGGGAAGTGTCAGACAGCAAAGAAACAGATAAACTCCTTTCCGTGTGTGTATATATAATGTATATAAAATATATATTCAATGTATTATTATATTAAATATATAGATTCCTTTATAAGTATGTCATATTTATATATAACTTATATGTATATATATGAAAATAGTATAAATATAGCGAGAAATTTATATAAATTTCTCCCTTTATTTATTTTTTCATTTTTGAGTTGGAGTCTTGCTCTGTTGTCCAGGCTGGAGTGCAGTGGCGACATCTCGGCTCACTGCGACCTCAGCCTCCCAGGTTCAAGCGATTCTCCTGCCTCAGCCTCCCAAGTAGCTGGGATTACAAGCACCCAGCGCCACAGCCAGGTAGTTTTTGTATTTTTAGTAGAGATGGGGTGTTACTGTGTTAGCCAGGCTGGTCTCGTACTCCTGACCTCATGTGATCCACCTGCCTTGGCCTAGTGCTGGGATTACAAGTGTCAGCCATGACGCCTGGCCAAATTTCTCTCTCTATTTATAAATATAAAAGGAAACATATGTGTGTGGGGGGAGGGGTTTGGGATGCCATAACAAAATACCATAACTGGGTGGCTTAAATAACAGAAATTCATTTTCTCACAGTTCTGGAGGCTGGAAGTCCAAGACCCAGGTGCCATCAGGACTGGAGTCTGTTGAGGCCTCTCTTCCTGGATTGTAGGTGGCTGGGCAAACAGCAATGTCTGTCTGCGGCTCTGGGAGGCTGAGAGTCATCCCAGTCTGGTGAACAGCAGTGCAGTCCATCTCCAGTGGGGACCCAATGTCAGAACAGAAAAGGAATATTTAGAACACTCCCAGAATATGTTGTTGAGAGAAATGAAAGAAATTAGCAAACCTCCTTTTAATGGGAGTAAGCTAAAGGGGAGGTTCCACTGATGAGAACATGTCAGCATTTCTAGAATATCTGAGAAATGCCTCCAGAAATTTATGTCCTGGTACCCCGAGGCACAGGGTGCCAGCTGGTCCTCAGCACCAACTTCATATCTCAGAGTGCCCCAGAGAGCTCTAGAAAGTTCCAAAGATGGTCACATGTGCTAACATTAACCCCTTCCAGTTAGTAGCGGTAGACATCCAGGTTTTCTTTTTCCATTTTTTCTTTTTTTTATGGCTACGTAGTATTCCATGGTGTATATGTACCACATTTTCTTTGTCCAGTCTATCATTGATGGGCATTTGGGTTGGTTCCACGTCTTTGCTATTGTACACAGGGCTGCAATGAACATATGTGTGCATGTGTCTTTATAGTAGAACAATTTATAGCTCTTTGGGTATATACCCAACAGTGGGATTGCTGGGTCAAATGGAATTTCTATTTCTAGATCCTTGATAAATTGCCACACTGTCCTCCACAATGGTTGAACTTATTTACACTCCCACCAACTGTGTAAGAATGTCTTTTTTTTGAGACAGAGTTTGCTGTCACCCAGGCTGGAGTGCAGTGGCACAATCTCAGCTCACTGCAACCTCCAAATCCCAGGTTCAAGCAATTCTCCTGTCTCAGCCTCCCTTGAAGATGGAATTATGGGAATGTGCTACCACACTTGGCTAATTTTTGTACTTTTAGTAGAGATGGGGTTTTACCATCTTGGGCCAGGCTGGTCTTGAACTCCTGAACTCAAGTGATCCGTTCACCTTAGCCTCTCAAAGTGCTGGGATTACAGGCATGACCCACCATGCCCGGCTGACTTCCAGAGTTTTAATAACAGATGTGGTTGAAGAAGAAAAGGAAGCCATGGTCTGTAGGCAGCAGGAGCTTCATGAAAAGAGGCCAGTGAAGAGCAGGACGTGAAGTTCTCTACCTACAGGGAAGCAGCCCAGAGCTTCCGCACAGGGACTTCAGCACAGAGGGCCGGGAAAATCTGCATGAACCTGAACCCTGGATCTAAGACAGGACAAGGGCTTGACTGTTTCTACAGACTCATAAGATGCAATCTCTGTGGTCCATGCTCATGAGGCAATCTGGAATAAAGGGGGCCTCATGCCTGTAATCCCACTACTTTGGGAGGCAGAGGAGGGCAGATCACCCGAGGTTGGGAGTTTGAGACCAGCCTGACCAATATGGAGAAACTACATCTCTACTAAAAATACAAAATAAGCCGGGTGTGGCTACACATGCCTATAATTCCAGCTACTCAGAAGGCTTAGGCAGGAGAATTGCTAGAATTAGAATCTGGGAGGTGGAGTTGGCTGTGAACTGAGATTGCGCCATTGCACTCCAGCCTGGGCAACAAAAGCTAAATACTGTCTCAAAAAAAAAAAGGAAAAGAAAAAAGAGGGGACCTTCTAAATGCCAGTAACAAGGAAATCAAATGTGCAACAGAAATACTGGTACTGATTTTGGCCATGGAAAGGCCTAAACAGTTTACTGTAGTTCATTGCCAAGGTCATCAGCGGGGTGACTCTGAAATAGTAAATTTCAGAAGCCATAGCCAAGATAGCCACACGGGTGTGGAAGTCCTCCAAATTTCTCTGCTTCCTTCAGTACCTCTTTATAAAATCAGCCAAGGTACTCCCCTGAGGAATTTCTTTTTTCTTTCTTTTTTTTCTTTTTTGAGACGAAGTTTCACTCCTGCTGCCAGGCTGGAATGGGCTGGGGTAATCTCAGCTCACTGCAACAGCGGCCTCCCGGGTTAAGCAATTCTCCTACCGCAAGTAGCTGGGATTACAGATGCCTGCCACTATACCTAACTGATTTTTTGGATTTTTAGTAAAGATGGGTGTCACCATGTTGGCCAGGCTGGTCTTGAACTCATGACCTCAAGTGATCCACCCACCTCAGTCTCCCAAAGTGCTGGGATTATAGGTGTGAGCCACTGCACCTGCCCCCGCCTGGGGGATTTTAAAAGCCACTGGAGATAGATATCACCTGAGTTCTGTAAGGTGGCCTAAATAGAAGAGGCAGGATATGAGTGCCTGCAAATATGAACCGGGTTATTTTAAAAGACCTCCATGACTCCTTATACTATGGGAAGGAGGTGGGACACGGCTTGCTCGTTGGCATTATAAGGACCCCATGATGAAAGGAAATAATATAATAAATAAATCGGCTGACCGCTGTGTCTATCATCAGAATATCAATGCTCCAACCAGACCTCCCATACCTCTTTTTTTTTTTTTTTTTTTTTTTTTTTGGAGACAGAGTCTCTCTCTCTCTCCCCTAGTCTGGAATGCAGTGGTGCCATCTCAGCTCACTGCAACCTCCACCTCCCGTACTCAAGTGATTCTCCCACCTCAGCCTCCTGAATAGCTGGCATTACAGGCACACACCACCACACTCAGCTAATTTTAGACTTTAATAAAGACAGGGTTTTACCATGTTGGCCAGGCTGGTATCAAACTCCTGACCTCAAATGATCCACCTGGCTTGGCCTCTCAAAGTGCTGGGATTACAGGCATGAGTGACTGTGTCCAGCCTCTCCCATATCTCTTTTGGCCAAGGCAGTACAATTCAGAAGAACTGTGCCAGGGAATACTGGTAAATGGAATTCAATGTGATGCCTGCGGCTCCTGGAGGATTTCCATACCTCCTGGTGCTTACTGATACCATCACCAGTTACCTTTTCAGTCCAGGCCAGACTGAAAAAGCAGGAGATCACTGATCAACCATAAACTATTTACTAGCAGAACACTGAGGAGTATGTGCGGTCACCAATACCTCCCATTGCACTTGGAGAAACGCCTCCCGGTAAATAGAGGTTCATATAAAGGAAATATTCAAACAAGCAGAATGGCTGCATTCCTTCAACCAGAAGCCTCCCTTCCTCTTTTTTCACACTGCAATAAAGAACTACCTGAAACTGGGTAAGTTATGAAGAAAAGAGATTTGATTGACTCACAGTTCTGGGGGCTGTACAGGAAGCGTGGCCCCCTGGGGAGGCCTCAGGAAACGGACAATCATGGCAGAAGGCAAAGGGGAAGCAGGCACGTCTTGCCATGGTGGAGCAGGAGAGAGAGTGAAGGGGGAAGGGCTACACACTTCTAAACAACCAGAGCCCATGAGGCTCACTCACTAACACCAGAACAGCAAGGGGGAAGTCGGCCCCTCACGAGCCAATCACCTCCCACCAGGTTTCTCCCTCAATATCGGAAATTACAATTTCACATGAGATTTGGTGGGGACACAGAGACAAACCATATCAAGAGTAGGTCAACCACTGAGATTTATTTATTTATTTAGAGACGGAGTCTCGCTCTGTCACCCAGGCTGGAGTGCAGTGGTGCAGTCTCAGCTCCCTGCAACCTCTGCCTCCTGGGTTCAAGCAATTGTCCTGCCTCAGTCTCCTGAGTGGCTGGGACTACAGCACACGCCACCACCACCACCACGCCTGGCTAATTTCTGTACTTTTAGTAGAAATGGGGCTTCATCATGTTGACCAAGGTGGTCTCAAACTCCTCAACTCAAGTGATCTGCCTGCCGTGGCCTCCCAAAGTGCCAGGATTACAGGCGTGGGCCACCGCGCCCGGCCTCTCCTGTTACTTTTCAGTCCTATATATTAAACTGATGGTAAGCTGTTTTTCCTCCAGGCGCCAACACTTCCACCTTCAGTTTGTATTGCAACAACAATACCAGCCCTTCCAGCAACTCCGGGGGACCCCAAAACTCATCTGGACTCAGCAGCCCAAGAGTTTCATTCCTCCAATTTTAGGAGACTCAGTGTCCCTGGTCAGCATGAAGTAGATACAAAAACATGACCTCCATCCCTCTTCCCTCATGAATGAGGGGTGGAATGCATCGGCAGGGCGTTGGTGGCGTGGTCTGAAAATCTGTAACTGCATCACACCAAATCTACTTCAACTGTTTTTTTTTTTTTTTTTTTGAGACAGAGTCTCGCTCTGTCGCCAGGCGCCAGGCTGGAGTACAGTGGCACAATCTCGACTCACTGTAACCTCCGCCTCCTGGGTTCAAGCAATTCTGCCTCAGCCTCCCGAGTAGTGGGGACTACGAACGCAAACCACCATGCCCAGCTAATTTTTATATTTTAGTAGAGACGGGGTTTCACTATGTTTGCCAGGATGGTCTCCATTTCTTGACCTCGTGATCCGCCTGCCTCGGCCTCCCAAAGTGCTGGGATTACAGGCGTGAGCCACTGCGCCCAGCCTTTTTTTTTTTTGATTGGAGTTTCACTCTGGTCGGCCAGGCTGGAGTGCAGTGGCGAGATCTCAGCTCAATGCAATCTCCCGGCTCCCTGAGCATGCCCAGATTAACCAAGCGTGCAACCATGGAGTGAAACCTAAGGGCAACGGCGCGATCTCGACACACCACAACCTCCGCCTCCTGGGTTCAGGCGATTCTCCTGCCTCATTCTACGGAGTAGCTGGGATTACAGGCATGCGCCACCACGCGCGGCTAATTTTTATATTTTTAGTAAAGACGGGGTTTCACCATGGTGGCAAAACATTGTCTCTCCTTACCTCAGGTTCTTGACCTTCGGTGAACCACCCGCCTCAGCCTCCCACAGCGCTGGGATTACAGGCGCGAGGCACCGCGCCTAGCCTCAATCCAACTTTTATGTAATGAAGTTGTCAGTTGTTTTTCAGTTGCCATGGACTCCCAGGTTGAAGGTCACATACCCTGAGCATGCCCAGATTAACCAAGCGTGCAACCGTGGCGTGGGACTTAAGGGCTCGGACTGAGGAGCTGAGACCGAGGAGCTGAGACCGATTTAAGAAGGTAAAAAGCGGATACCCCATGACAGGAGCCAGGATCCAATCAGATTGAGCTTTGGCATCACCCCATGGCAGGATCCAGTCAGATCACTCCTCCCAGCATTCCTTCATTGTAAGATCCAATCAAATCACACCTCATTACCCTATGCTTATAAAGCCTGAAACAGCCCCCCGGCTGGGAAACTGAGACTTGAGCATTTCCTCCCGTGTTGCCCAGGCTGAAGTGCAATGGCACAATCTCGGCTCACTGCAGCCCTCCTGGGTTCAAGTGATTCTCCTGCCTCAGCCTCCCGAGTAGCTGGGATTATAGGCATGGCCATCACACCCAGCTAAATTTGTATTTTTAGTAGAGATAGACTTTCTCCATGTTGGCCAGGCTGATCTCAAACTCCCAAACTCAGGTGATCTGCCCACCTCGGCCTCCCAAAGTGCTGGGATTACAGGCATGAGCTACTGCATCTAGCCAAAGAAGCTTTATTTCTCAAAAGTTGGAGCCATGGTATCGACCTCTGTACACACTGGGCGGCAGCCTATTGACTGTTCAGTAACATATATGTTAACTATATGTGAACTTGAATTCCTAAAACATTTGAGTTGGTTTCAGTAAATATTTTTCTAGCACATGGAAGCATTAGAAGTTTAATTTCCCTTTCTTCTAAGAATATAGACAAATTCAATTCATATAAGTACTTATGTAGCTCTATAAGCCATCAGAACAGAGAGCCTTTTAAAACTCTGTATTTTGGTTCACACCTGTAATCCTAGCACTTTGGGAGGCCGAGGTGAGAGGATCGCTTGAGCCCAGGAGTTGGAGACCAGCCTAGGCAACATGGCAAAGCCTCTTCTCTATAAAGAATACAAAAATTAGCTGGGCATGGTGGTGCACATCTGTAGTGCCAGCTCATTGAGAGGCTGAGGTGGGAGGAAAACCTAGGCCCCAGGAGGTTGAGGCTGCAGTGATCTGTGATCCAACACACTGCACTCCAGCCTGGATGACAGAGTCAGACCCTGTCTCAAAAACAAACAAGCTCTATATCTACTTTAATACCAATCAAAGGTGGAAAAACATTAGACACACAATCAGAGGTAAAGACCTTTCTAAATTACAGACACATAGACATATAAAGAAATGGAGCTTAGAGCTTCAATTCTAAAATTTAAACATGAGTCAAGAGTAAACACAAAAACGCAAGAACTCACCAGGCCAGATATCAAAGAGTTCTCCTCCCAGTGGGCATGAAAGTCTTCATTGATTTCAGCTCAAAGTAGACAAACAAATAGAAAAGACTAACAAATCAGACTCTGTGGTCTCTCACCCAATAGAGATTAGGTCTGTGCAAACATTAATCTCCTTACAGAGATAGCCATGTGGTCAGACCATAAAACCAAATTCCCGGCCAAGCGCGGTGGCTCATGCCTATAATCTCAGCATTTCTGGAGGCTGAGGTGGGCGGATCACCTGAGGTCAGGAGTTCAAGACCAGTCTGGCCAAGATGGCAAATCCCTGTCTCTACTAAAAATACAAAAATTAGCCAGGCATGGTGGTGTGTGCCTGTAGTCCCAGCTACTTGGGAGGCTGAGGCAAGAATATCACTTGAACCTGGGAGGCAGAGGTTGCAGTGAGCCGAGATGGCTCCCCTGCACTCCAGCCTGGTTGGCAGAGTGAGGCTTTGTCTCAAAACAACAACGAAAACAAACAAATTCCCAATCAGTGATGCCAGCAATGCAAACAAACCCAAACCAAAGTCAAACACAAAATTGGTAGAAGGGGAAATTACTGACAAACGAGAAGACAGCACATTTCTACTGGCACTTTGGACTCATTCCTGGGAGCCAAGAAGAGATTCACCTGGGCTTCAACGTTCATGAGGCACTCCAGTCTTGAGGTTTTCCTGGGTCAGTCATGCGATTCCACTGGGGACTTCTGTGACGAACTGGAAAACATTAAAACATGAAGGTATAATCATGCAAACAGACTCTCATGCAAACAGAAAAATGAGCACATGCTAAAGACTATATTTAATTCAAGAAGAAACCAGCAGATATTATAACTAGATCAAAAGATAATCTGAGTGCTGGACATGGTGGCTCATGCTTGTAATTCTAGCCTTTGGGAGGCTGAGGCGGGTGGATCACTTGAGGTGAGGAGTTCAAGACCAGCCTGGCCAACATGGTGAAACTCCATCTCTACTAAAAATACAAAAATTAGTTGGGCATGGTGGTGTGCACCTGCAATCCCAGGTACTTGGGAAACTGAGGCAGAATTCCTTGAACTTCTAAGCCAGGATCTCGCCACTGAGCTCCATTATGTGCAACAGGGAAGACCCTGTCTCAAAAGTAAAAAAAGGGACAGAATCTAAGAAACAGACATATTTGCAAATCAGGAATATTGAAATGATTATGTAAATGGAAAAATGCAGTCAAAACTGGATTTTCTCTGGTAGGGATTGGGGGAAGTCAACCAGTTTCCACCAGACAGAACATAACTTGCATTAATCACCTACAAATTTCGAAGAGGTGTAAAATACCTCAAAGATAATGAACAGGGTTGAACTCAGATAACATGGTCTTCCAAATGTGCTTCGTTTTCCATTGAAACGCAGGTTTCTTTTTCTGCTTGCCGGGTTCTGGGTAATTTTTTTCTTCTTTCACTTCTGTACATATTCTCTGGTTTTTCTAGCTATCACAAACTAGAAGTGGTTTGGAAAAGCTGGAATACTTTTTTCCTTGTTGGGGTGAGGATGGTATCCTGTCTCAGGCTAATCCTCTATTATTTCACCCATGGGCCCTATTTACTAATGTTTTGGTTAACTGTGTCATTGTGATCATAAGCGAGCATAATGCACCCTCTTGTTCAATTTGTCTTGGTTGCACATGGACATTGATTCGGGTAAGGCAGGCCTGGCCAGGGCACAGTCTAGGAGACACTACGTGAAGCAGAGACTTTCTAGACGTTCCCTAAAAACAGTCAAGGCGTCCCCGAGAAGACGTTCCCGGAGGAGAAATTTGAGTCACGGGTTCGGGGCTGCCAATTAGCATGGAGCCTCTTAACGGCTAGATGAGGTAGAGACATTTAAGACAGTTTCTAAACTTGGGGGGAGCCTAGGCTCATGGGAAATAGAGTACTGGTACTTGTCCTGGGACCGGCGGTGGGCCCCGGGAGGACTTCCGGTGCACTCCTGTGCGTTTACACCCCCCTCTGTGTGCGTGTTCGCGCATGCGCGTCGCCACCGCACTGCCCTCGCTTCCGGTGCGTCCCC